GGGGGGGGGGGGGGGGGGGGGGGGGGAGGGGGTGATTACCAGCGGCGTTGGCCGTTTGACCAATCGATTCCTAAGGCGAGAAGCACATTCCCCCAATCCGAAACCAGACAAATGAGAACAATGGGATGTGGTCGTCTGTGCCCCATCGTGTCAACGGTTGTGCAGGAAACGCTAAACTTCCTCGCCTTAACACCCATCGTCAAGCCTCCTCGGAACGCAGGGTTCAGAGACGAAGGTTGACAGGAAGGGTCGAACTGCCAATCATCATGGAACCATCAAGGACGTGTCAACAGGGCCTCGCCGTTGTGGGCCTCGGAGTTGTGCTTCTCCTGGGCCCGGCCCGCTGCCTACAAAAATAAAAAGGGCACAACGAACCTCACCGAACGTCCATCACGACCGTACACACGTACCACACGTAGGTCCAACAACTAGTGATGGGTTTGCAGCAACCAATAAGACGGAATTGTCCTCCATGGAGCAGACGTTGGGCAGACTCTACCCTCGAGGAAGGGAATCTACCGTCTTCTCCTTGGGTGAATGGTACGCAGAAGGTTTTTCTGGGGGGGGCGAGGCGGGGGCGGGGCACACCTCGTTGACGCCAAGGATCAACGAACGATTCGTTCATAGACAGAGACTGGGGAAACGGATTGTACCCTGTTCTGACAGGGATCTACCTCCACGCAAAGGACAAACGACGCGAGCGAGTCGAAAACATCGAGCACCCATCCACCTCATCTGTTGCTCTCACCAGGAAGATCGCCGGTGTCACCAACGGAGGAGTCGTTGTGGTGATGGTGTTCTGGAGGGTCTTCGGCGGGTAGGCTGATTTGATCTACGGCGCTTGCGTTGTTGGCGGTGCTGCTGCGCACCTCGAATCCGACGGTAACCAGCGTCGGCGTTGCAACAACCAACAGGTTCTGGCAAGAAAAAAAAACATGGGGAGCACGCATGGGCTGTTAAAGAGAGGGCAGGAGAGAGGCAGACAGACCAAGTGATACACACAACGGGGAGCACGCAGGGCTGCGGGAGAGGAGAAAGGCAGACACACACGCACTGAGCATAGGAGGGAAGCATGCATGGGCTGCTACGGAGAGGGAAGCGGAGATAGGCAGACATGCACACATCGAGCATAGGAGGAAAGCACGCATGGGCTGAGAAAGAGAGAGAGAGAGAGAGAGAGAGAGAGAGAG